AGAGATGGGTCTTTGAAAAGTGCTCTAAGCAGTGAGTAACTACAGCTCCTGAAACATAATTGTATTTGCACTAATGCTTGACCTGTTTAAGTGGAACTGTTCTATTTGGACTGGTTCATTTAAGACTATCTTGAGTATGTGAGAAGAACATTTCTAATTTTGAACAGGGACTGAACCAATCCCAACTTGAAATCACATCCCATAATGCTTCACTTTAGTTCCAGATTAGCCCAGAACACTGAGGAAACCTAAAGACCACAGATGGGAAAATGGGCTGGGAAGCAATGCCAAGATCAGCAAATCACCTCAATCCCCCCGTTCTCCACCACCTGCCAGTTACAATCTCGCCCATAGTTTTTAAAACACTTTTGACAGATGCAAATTTTGAGGGAATATAAACCCTGATTCAGTAAAGCATCTGGGAATGCACTCAAATTCCATTTTAGTTAATCCTAATGTACATCACAGAAGCAGGTCCTTTGTATATAAGAAGGGTTTATCCCTAAGATCTTTACAATATTCTTACTTGTATTTTATGTTTTACCCAATCCAATTAGACTTCAAGAAAATATTAATTAGAAAACAGTCACACTGACACAATAAACATACACTCCCTGGGGGAAAAAGGGATTTTTTTCAACAGTCATATTTTGAAAACTACAGATAGCTCACAAAGGCTGTTTGGGGTCTGTTTGAAAAATATCACACATAATGGTGTTGACAAACATAGCTTGCCTTGCCAGCACACCAGGAGATTGAAATTATCAAGTGTTCAGAATCTGGGTATTATTTATGCTTTTTGGTCTGCATGGCATAGAAGAAAAAACACAGAATAGATGGAGCAACATCCTTCTTTAAATCTGAGGGATCCCAACCAAGACAACTACACTACTACTTATGACTCTAAAACCTACTGCTGTTTTAAATGGATGTGGCAAAGTATCCCTCAGGAAAATACTCAGAGAAAAATACTTTGTGTGATATTGGTATAACTACTTTGTGTGATATTGGTATAACTCCAAGGTAAAACAAGGTATAAAACTAAGGTGATTTTTCTTCTATGACACTGTTCTATGAAAAATACTCAGAAGTTCTGTGCAACTAAAATTCTGGCTAAAGCTATTTCCAGCTTTCAAGCTACTTAATAGTTTGCTGAGTATTTTTTATTATTATCATTATTATTCCAAAAGCTAAGTAATACCTAATATGTATTGTTTACAAGTGGTACAAATGATGTTATTACTCTTAATATTAATGATGCAATTACTGGCATAATGGGACATTTTAAAGCAAAGCTATAAAGGGTTTGCAAATGCCCTAAATTCCAGCAATGATGTGTATGCTCACCCATGCACCTGCTATTAACTTTGATTTCCAATTTTCTGCCATACATTTCACTTTTAAAATCATTTTTCAGGACCCAAAATTAATTTCCAATTTCCAGTTCCTTTTTAACTAAATTTTTCCATCTCATCTTTGGTTACAACTTTCAGAAAATATGTGATTCACAGCTTTACACCTCCAAAACAAATTTTTCATATAAACACATGTTTAGAGAAATCTTAGAAAAAATGCAATTGTGTTTATAAGTCATTATGGTTTTTTTCCTGTTTGGGCAGTATTTTACATGCATTACTGGTGAAAGCTGACTTTGCACTTGTAAACAACCAGGGCTAGCACAATAAAAGAAACAAGTCTGGAACCACAATGCTGGTGCCTGTTTTTCACTGCAATGGCCTCAAAGTTAGACTGATGGCTCTCTGGGCTTTTTGCCAACACCACACACCAGATTAAAATAGAAAGAAGGGAAATAGACAACCTGGGGTCCAAAATTTAATTCTGACCTTATGTATAAGCTCTATGGGAGGCTTGGGCAAAGTAGAATGCTAATCTACCATATAAGGGGGGCAGCACAAGAAAACTTGAAAAAATCTAACCAGAAAAATGTCTTTTCTATCATGTTCACATTTTGGTATTTTGAAACCATCGATCTTGAAAAATAATCAAATCTTCATGTATAAACGTTATGTTATTCTCAGAAAGTAATACTAAATGTACAATGTAGTTACATGTTCACAGCCCACTTTCTTTCAGCATGAGATAAACTATATTTTTTATGGCTTTAACCCACTTTATTCAAACCATAGACTTTTCTGTTTCACAGACTTGTGGGTTTATGGATCTCATTAACTATGAAATATGGACAGCATATTAGAAAGTAGATTTAAAAGTGAAGGCTGAAACACTATCTTCATTCCATCAGAATGGGCTCCATTTATATTTTCTCTCATATTTCATAGTGGAAGTTAAGTATTCTGCTAAAACATATTTGCTAATGGACTTCTTTACCAAAAAGAATTTAATTTTTTAAAAAATCAAATTAGTGTTCTTCACAGAATTGTTTACAATAAATAAACATTTTTTTTCTACATTTAAATAATACTATAATGTTAAGTCCAAAAAGGCAAATGAGAAAATATCTTCATAAAATTTTGCAGATGCTGACTAATTTTACCATAACTTTCTTGGAAGTTCTGTGATTAAACTGTTTCTAGGTACTACTTTTAACTTTCCAATGGAAAATAAAAAGTATGGTAAACAGATTAAACTCTGTTCCTTATTTCTTACTATAAACTCCATTTCTTATTCAAGTACATGCACTTAGATCCTTTGATTTTAAACACAAATATCGAGAAAATTAAGCTGTTAAATACCTATTGCTACCTTATTCACTAACTATTAAAATAACTCAGTAACTCTATTGAGCACAGCTCAATTTTGTAAAATGACTCAATAAACACAGTAATTAGTAAAACAGTTTAAGCTATTCTGAGATGGGATCTTGAAAATTAGATGCTTCAATGGTAATTCTCAGAAAGATTGCTTTATTGATTATTATTCTTAGAATATTTGTATAAGACGTTCTATTTAGTCTCCTGCCCTTTCAAGAGAGAATTCCCAGGACATTATTAAGTTCTCTATTCTTAATACAGCTTGACAAGATACAGATACACACACAACTGAGAAACAGCAACTTTTTTCCACAGGGAAATTCAGGTCATCAAAACACAGGAAAAGAGGTTAATTTGAAGGCAGCGAGGGAAAGTTTTCAAACTCTTATTTACGTATTCACAACCTCAGAAGAGAAAGAGACCAAAATCCTCTTTCACTATCTCCTTCAGAAGGATTTGTTCTGGCTCAAACTATTACCAAAGGCACTATCGTGAATTTTAGAATAAGACATGGAGCTGATCTACAAAGTGGCCTGATACAAAAAATTTCAGCTACTTTACATGAATCTTGTGTTGGTTGCTAGCACAGCAGAAGGCTTTGTGGGACAGTGCATGCAGTGCTTATATAAGCAGCAGAGTGACATAACTTAGGAAAAGACTTGCCAATGGCACGCAGAAGTCAATTCCAACAACATTGTGTCCACTTCATAAAGTGAAGCATGACACAGTGTAAGACCAGCTTCACACTTCATGCACTTCTGTGTGCACAGCTGGTCTGACATAAGCTTTGTGGGTAATTAACAAAATTTTGTTAACAACTTTCAGTCAGCACAATGCTGATAAGTAGCATACATTTATTAATGTTATGTGTTTGGATGCAGATTTATATTTTCAAAGAGCCACAGCACAAATGAATCATACAAAGACCTCTAATTTAAGCAGAATAAACTTTGAAGCACTTTAGAAACTTATGTAACATTCCCTGTAACTGCATCTATAAACAAGTTGTTTCAACATTTCCTGCTTGGGCTTGATTTCCTTTATGCTGTTGCTGAATGACTGCCACGCAGCCTCCATGAAGTTCTGATCCTCCCAATGTTGAGTGCAACACTCTGTGCAGTAATGTATCTGACAGAAATAAATCCTACATTTCTGCTGTATTCCATATTGCCTTCATTTCATTGCTTCCTTTTTGTTACACAGTCAGCTGCAAATCAAATTTGTGATGAGTTTGAAGAAACTTACAGGAGCCTGGACTTCATCTGTTACAAGGAATCAAATAATGGAACTGGACTCACAGTGGTTTTGTTATTTTGGTACGTGTGCACTAGATACAAATGGATAGTAATAGGAGTGTTACCTTGAGATCAACCAAAAGTACTTTCAAAATTCTCTCATGGACTGTTCAAAGAAACAGGGAATTTTTTGGAAATACAAGCAAGATTTACAGAATGAAGATATGTTAAGGTCCTAACCATTTCCAACCCTTTCCCACTTACCTTTATGAAAACCCACAACTCAAATAGCAATTGACATGTGGACACTGTGCTATACACTGCTAATACTTTGATTATAAGTTCACGCTACAAAATTAAAAATACTCTTGCATAATTTCATATTCACGAAGAACTGTTTAAATGGTTCTTCTGCAATAACCATCTAGGAATCTTCAATCCGCATGTGGAAAGGCAGAAGATAAGAAAGGAAAGAACAGATTTGCGTGGAGGATATATTAAATATTTAAAAGAACTTCCTAATAGTTACAGAACAGTGTAATCCAAATGGTTTTCACCACAGTGAGTCACATTATGTAACTTTTTTCTGGTTTGGTTTATATTGTTTAAATTCTCCCTCAAGTAGTAATACCAAAATTTAATTTAATCTAGAGATTTTTGAACAACCCATGTCCAAGACCAAAATCCTCCTCATTAAAAAAAATTGAAGCAATGTTGTAAGACAGGATTCACTGTTATCAATTTTTCACCAGATGGAAGTTTGGAAATTAAGGGAGAAAGAAATCTGAGAATAATTTGCTCACTCTGGAGTCGCAATCACTACAAAAAGTCCCTTCCATTTTAATTTTTTGTGTGATTAGCAAATATAAGTATTCACACAAAATATAGCACATGAAAAAGCTATATATTTACCCTGACCCTTAGCTCTTATATCTGTTAAAAAAACAATGTAGAATGATTTACCTCCAAAATATTTATCATAATGTATTTATCACATGAGTATTTCATACTACACAATTATTCCAGTCCATACCTGCAGGCTTGTCAGTTGAGCTGCTGACTTCCCTTTTAGGCAGAGAATGAGTGCCAGAAATGCATTTAAATCCTCCAGAGAGAGGCTACTGACCTAAAACAGATGAAAAAAAATGACACATTATCTGAAGGCTCTGAAGAGGAGCTTTCTGAAAATTGAATCCTCTTGCTCAAGCACATCAAACTTGGAACAGTGACCTCATGTAATGACGACCACCATGAATGCATCATCTAGGAAAACACACAGGGAATCAAATTCTTTCTTTCACAGCTTGAATGAAGTGCATACCCCAACACTTATGTATAGTGTATACACATGGATTTCCACACATCAAACAAAACGCTCACCCTTCATTTATTCCCTTCTCCACTTCCCTTGGAATTTCATAATAACAGGAAATTTTTCTCTCTCTGCAAGACCAAGCTTAGTAAAAAAATTCCTTTATAGTCAAGACATAGGATAAAAACCACCTCAATGAGCCACAGATATGATGACCATTAGGAATTTTAAAAATGCTTACACATTTATCTGTTAGAACTTTCAAAAATATTCTAAAATATTTCAATTACCTATTTTAACCTAAATTTCAGGATTTATCAAAACATATTAAATTTCTTTCGGATTTTAAGGCTACATATGGAAGCAGGGAAAACTCAGAGCTAAAACCTAAAATGTTCAAGTGGGGAGACAGAAATGAAGAAGTGTTTTGAGATTTTGCAGAGGCATGTGATGGTCTCAGAAGAAAGACAACACCTAGAGAGCAGCTGGCATGATTCCCTGACAGTACCAGTCGTGCTCTAATCCTTTCCTTCTTCTTATAAAACACTACGTATCATACAAGTGCACCAAGACCATGAATCTGTTAGAGCAGTTGAGGATATACAGAGAGCTCCAAAGTGAGAGCCATAAAGCATTACAATTCCTTATCAACTGGAACTTGAGGAAAGGTTTCTCTTGCAAAATGTGGAAATGTGCATTGTGGGCATACAGAGCACTTAAGAGCCTGCCTAAAACTCTTTGCCTTTCTTTTAACAGGCTAAAAATCATTCAAGCACTATTCAGATTTATTTTTTTCTTTTAATCAGACCCCACTGCTTGTGTCACTTTAAAATATTTTCCCCTCTATGATGTCGTTAAATCTTGCATAATGCACAAGAATTTGAGGGATATCAGAAACATTTTAAGCTTTCAAAATGCTCTTTGGTATTCATTAACTCCACTTGTCTGCTAAGATCTGATAATGGCCCTACTTTACCCTGTAACTCAAGTCAGGTGTCACCTTTGTGTAGATGGCAACAGAAGATGTTTAGTAAACCTGCACGTTTTATATACTGAACTAACAGAAAAAGTGATATTTATCTACAAAACAATTCTTAATACTTGCACAATTTTGTCATAAGAAAAGGAAATCAAAGATTGCTTACAAGTACAACAGCCAGAAAATGCCCCTAACAGAGCAGGTGAGCCAAAAGTGCTTATGAATGTAAAAACACTTTATAGAAATTTTCTTCAGTATTCAAACTTGGTGAGTTAACATAATTCCACTGTCAGATTTAACCCAAAACTTTTAGAGACTGAAAGAGAAAATTCCCCTTTGTCTGGAGGCTTCAGTGTTTGGTTTGAACTCATTCACTGCTCTGCCAGCCTAAAAGGCAGACCTAATAGTTACTATTTTTTTCACTATTTTTCTTCTTAATTTAAAGAATATTTGAAAGGAACCCTCGAAAAAAACATTTGTCATATCAACACTTTTTTTACATAGTTAAGGTTTGTTCATTGGAATTTTTTTTCTTTAAAAAAAACGCTTCTGAAGTTTTCATTAAATGTTTCCACATACATTCTGAAGGAAGCCAGATGGGTTGATCAGTATGCTGGTTCCGGCAGAACCTTCATTTTTAGCTTAGATTAAATGATAAGTAATGACAGTTTAAAAAAGTTTATTTTCCCTCATATGAGCTGAAGGAAGACTTGAAGCCTGCTTTAAGGAAGGAAAACAATTCACCTTTCTTCTCTAATAAAAATTTAAGACTAAAGTGTAAGGGCAGGAGTCAGAACACAGCTAGACAAGCCTTGTTTTCTCAGCTATAAAACAAATGGAAGCAATATGGCCAGCTCAAAGCATGGCTACTGACACTCTTGCCCTTATGTTTTCCTCTCAAACATCCCAAGAGAACAAACAGACAATATCAGAGAAATAACCAAAGTTTAAAATAACCCAGCAATGAAAAACATTTTACTTCAAATCACTTCCCCAGTCTGGTTCCCAGGGTAGATTGTATCAGTGCAACTCTGAGGGCAGAAGAGAATCTGGAAAATGGGGCAGCTCTTGAGAAACTGGCACTGCCATGAAAAACCCTCCATCAGACTGAGCCCTTTGCATGATCTCTCTGCTGTTACTCCTGTTGAAAGCAAGAGCTGTAGATCTGGCTTAGTCTCTGATTATAACAGTGGCCATTGGATAATAAGTTCTGAAAACCATTTCCCTGACAAGCATTTTTTTTTTCTATTTTATTAATATCCCGTGATCAAGGTTCAGTAAATCCACATTTCTGAAAAGTGTTCCATGCTGTTACTTCTCAATCCTACTAAAGAAACCCTTCTCAAATAATTTAGTTATCATGCAATGAAAGGGTGCACAGAATAACTCAATAAATAAGTGAAACAGTGATAAATGAAACTGCATGTCTATATTCTAATAGAAAAAGCACTTGTATATTAAAAGGTAGGTGCCTGATATGTATCTTGCTGACTTGAAACTGCAAGGCATGAAACGATGTTTAATAAGTATTATCTTTGAAAAAATTTCAATTTGTATTCTATTATATACAAATTAAATAAAACAAAAAACCTACATGGACCATTTGTGGATTTCCCATATGTACTTCCTCAATATGTCATCTAAGTTTCAATAAACACGTGAAGAGAAATGAAAAGTCAGGGAGAACTTGTTCTCAGGTATCACACATCAGTACATATCTGTTATTAAGGAAACTGAAGTCTAAAAAAGCAAAACAAAAGACAAAGTGCAGTTCAGTTTAAGCACAAGTGAAGATGAGCATATCAGATGAGATAAATGCATAATTTGCTCATCCTCAGAGAGGAAAATCTGCTTGTGAGATCACCGTTTGAAATGTGGCAAGTACAGACAATACATTAAATACCTAAGAGAAAAGTAAATAATGAAGCAATATTGTATTTAATCTTGTGTCCCTTTTTATTACAATTAAGGTAGTCTGCAGGCTGCCAAGTATTTGGAATTATAACAGAAGTGTTACCTAATGATCCTCTATTACTCAAAATTTAATGAGAAGAGCCATAGCCTCAGTTCTGGCCTGAAAATTAGCAGACTGACAAGAGGGCATGAAAAAGTAGTGAGAGCTGACTAAATATTTATATTGTCTATTTGCACAGTCTGCAAAGTCACCTGAGGGAATGATGACACAAAGGAAACACAAAAGGAGCAACTTTAATTTGCAAACAGGGCCCACAGAGCAGGGGAAATCCCTCAGTTTATACTCTCTGGCTAGACTGCCCGAGGGGTTTTGTCATGGGCACGTGAGAGCTATGATTAGCTACTAAAAACCCCAGGTATTTCTTGAACAGGATGGTGCATGTTAAGTGGAGTAATTAAAAATATTGTAATGCAGTACTATTATATTTGATCAGCTATGCCTACAGTAAGGATTAAGAAAAATGCCCAGCACAGGCTAGCAAAAACCAGTTTATTTGTCTGTCCTTCACACTTATCTGGGCTGACAGCTGAGGAAAAAGCAACCATCCCTCTTACCTGCATCATAAGATAGGCCAGCAAGCAGCAGAATCCTGCAACAGGTGCTTCCAGAGCTTGGAGTTCTTCCATCTCACCCTGAAGGTTAAAGCATGCCAGAAATGTCCTATACCGTTGCTTCTCCACGTCAGGCCCTTTGGCAAACCACAGTGTTTTCAAATTAGGTGTTCCACCTACAAAAGAAATCCATTATTTTATTTTGGCAGCAACAAGATAAAACATGTCTACCTCATTACAATCAGAAAGGAAATGACTTCTCTGGCAGGAAAGGAAATGAAATGCTCTTGGCATTTGTGAGGACCGCAGAGTCAAAAATAAAATGTATTTGACAAAACTTGCATTTGAAAAAAAAAATTAACAAAAAAAAAATGGCCTGTAATTGAAACAAAATTTATTGAATACAGGCATGTTTAAGCAGAGTAGACTGAATTCAACCCTTACAATAACATAGACAACCTTGAGACAGCAAGCATTTAACCTATGCAAGGGCAAAGTTTGCCTGCAAGTGCGTTCTTTGCCTTGGCAAAGCATTAAATGAGGCTCCCTTCATCATAAAACAGTGATTCAGCAGAGAACAACCAGATCTGTGTTTCTCTCTTCTAGAGTTAACATATCAGGGGTCCCTGAGGAATGCTCACATTGTCTCCCTCATGATCACCTGTTCTAATGAGCACCTATGCCACTCGGTGGTGAGCAGGAATTCTCCACAAGGCACTGTGGGGGTCTGACCCCTCTGCAGCACGTTCCAATTTGGGAACAAAACCAAGGGGATCTGGTATTTTTCACTTCCTAGGCTACTGTATGAAACACTGTTGCAAATACACACAAAAGAACTGTCATCAATTATGAATAATGGATCTTTCCAGACTTTCTCTAGTATAATTCACACTTGTCTCTAAATCCTTAATATTTACCCCATGCTGCCATCTCCCAGCTTGTGGCATGTGTGGGCTAATGCAAAATTTGCTCCTCGTTTAAATTACATTTAATCTGGTATCAAAATAAACACTAATGCACGTGAAATAACAGAACAGCTAACTGGTTATGCCTCAGAATCTCAATAAAAGACAGAATCATACCATAAAGTACGGCTGCTTCTGTAGTTAAACAAAATGAGGTGTGAATTTTAAATGTGAACTAATTAAGGCACATTTGGTAACACCTCTTCCTTTTTTCATGTGACATGCAGCAGCTGCAGACCAGTTAGGAACACTTGGTGATAATAAATGGTTAAAGTGACAAGGTGCTGAAATCTACATAGATGATGTTTATTTAGCCAGGGAAGCCCATTAACCAAATGGTACTAATTCTTTGGAGAGGGGGAAACTAGAAGAAAAGTTAGTATTTTCTTTATCTCCCTGATGGAAGTTTCCTTTACTATTTTTAAGGCTAATTCTCCTGTCAAAAGTTTTAACCATAAAAAGAACTACTATCACATAATCTGTAAGTTTCTAACCTTATTTCTAAGGGAAATGTATTATTAAGAAAAAAAAAACAGTTGCCTGATTTGAGGTAGAAATGCAGTAAGAGAAAACAGAAATAGTGGCAGTGAGTGGGGTAGTAAAGACAGCACAATAAGACTCACATTATTTGTTTTGATATTGGCAATTGGTGCCTTAAGAAAAAAACAACAGCAGAGACCATCTTCCAGAAGAAAATCAAATATAACATGCATAAAACCAAAACAACGCCAACTTTTCCTACCTAGCCTAAGCAACCCTGATGTGTGAGACAATCTGTACATGAGTAAACTCAAATAGTTTTGATGGTTTCTGCATACAAAGAGATACACTAAGAATCATTTAAAAGGAAAGTTCTCTTTTGCATCCAGGGGCATACCTCATAGCAGAAATCCTTCTTTCTTCAGAATAAAACCATAAACCATGTCAATATTCAAGATTATAGATCTACATTAAGAGAGCTCAACAAAAAATTCAAGACCTCTCTCCCATAAACAGTTTCTTACACTTTCAGAAGCATCTACTTGTGCCTGGGAAAGAAAGGTATTGATAAATTATGAGTTATTTACTCTGGGAAAGAAAACTTGATACCATCTCCTTTTGGAACACACCAACAAAAGGCACTTTTTTTCTGAAGGCCTCTCTTCTTCAATTAATAAAATTCCATGTAATACCCAAGACTAATCTATTGTATCAAATAAAAGATAAACAAAACAAAGAAACAAATATCCTAAAGTTCAATGACTGGCCCACCATACATGCAGTCCACAGCAGATCTAAGATTCATCTACAGTAGATCCTCAAAAAGTTCTTTAGGTACATCTTTACTACATTATTTACAGTAATTAGAAAACATTTCTGAAATAGAAATTTACTTGGATATGCAGGAAAAATATTTTATTTTCTGAACGTGTCTATATATTTACTAAATTAACCTAAAAAACAACCAAAACTTAGTAATGAAAGGAAAATACACCAAAACATTTTATATGTTCAGTACTGAACTGAAACATCTTTACTATAAAGACTAGTAATGATAAAATTATCTGTTGGGATAGGAACCACAATTTCCCATGAATTGCACAAACATATGCAAACATAATTATTCTCAACATGCACAAAACTGTGTGAAAACCATTTTCAGCATTATGTGAACTACAGTCCTCAGGAACCTCAAGAAGAGGAGATGTAAAAAGACCTCCATGGAGGTGAGATACTACTTGCCTAAACAAAGAAACAGACAACCCACAATTTTAAAAAAAAAGACAACAAAAAAAAAAAAACCAAGGACAAATCACTTTTTACCTTTTTCCTTATACTCACACATTTAATACCATTACCATACAGAAAGCAGCATGAGAAACAAAAGCACCTCAAGGGAATACATAAACATTTATTTCATCTGTTTGAATTTCAATAATCGATTTATGGATATGCAATACATGCAAAAGTTGGATGTGGAATGCATTAATTCTATGATATCATTTAATTCAACACTTAAACAAAGGTGATTGTCACATTTGTACCAACTTTAAACACATCATTACTGTGTATAGAGATGTAAATCTATAAGAGTAAATATTCATGTATATTTGAAGCAATGACCACTGAAATTTTATTTTATAACATCAGCAATAGAACTTTAATATTTCCTCATTTTTACATGCTCATGTAAATACCGACCAATAAAAAGATGTTTATAAAAATGCACTTGCTAGGTAAACTCAACAGTAACTTCTCAACAGCTGTGGCCAAAAACCAAAAATGCCAATTAAATCTGACCATTAAAGAACTTAAACATATTCATGACACATTCATGAAGGATGCAATGATTAGAATACTGAAAGTACATCCAAACTCTGTGGTATGAAGCTACAATATCTTATGCATTTTCAGAAATAAAATTAACTAAGAATATAGTTCTAAATAACTAAGAAATAAAGAATAAAATTAAAGACTTTAGAATTTCTTTTGTTCCACATAAACTGCACACATATCAAATATACCTGCTATGTTCACAAGATATGGATATGAAACAGTAATTTCTTAGATCATGGATCTTCTAACAAAATTGATTTGCCAGTGACATTTTATCAATATAAGTGCTGCTCTGTCAATGTGTATAAATCATGATCATATCCATTCAGCTGAAAAGAAACATTCTAGAAGGAAGAAAGAGACACAGACAATGCAAGGAAGCAGAAATGATAATTTAGAAGACTGTCTCTCAAAAATAAAAAAATATAGCTAATATATATTCTATTTTAAATATATTTTATCATCTTATTCAAAATTTAAAATATTTATCATTATGTACACTACAGCTTAAAATTCATAGTTCCTTTAGCGTTTTTAATCTAAAACAAACTGGAAAAGAGTCAGGATTTTCCATATATTCTCAGTACAGCTCTAAAGTACTTCTGATGATCAGGTTATCAGTTTTTTCCAAAAAGATAAAGAGCCTTCCCAAATTAATTGAACTTTTGATGTTTCAAATAGATTTTTGGTAATTTTTTTTGTCTTTTTGAGTAACCTGATCTTGATTGACAGCTTTGAACTCTAACTTCCTAAAACAATTTTAAATTTAGCTCTAAATATGATCCCTGTCTGAAAAATGTGATGTGCTGTTGAGAACCTTATTTGGTGAATTAGAAAGTCATGCTGTGGAAAATCAAAGATGCATGAGCGAATGTAAGTCATACAAATATGGACTGCAAAAATTTTAGAAAAATATTTGTCTGCTGAAGGAATGACAACAGAGCACTAAAAATAAACACTAAAAGTCCTCCTCCCATTTTTTAATAGTCTGCTTGAACAGCCTTTCATTACTGAGTTAGTAAAGATTGTATCTGAGAAGATTCTGGTTTTATAAACTCCACTTATGTGGTTGCTATAAACAAACACACTTGAAATCCTGTTTATTGTCAACATGAAGGTGGGCTCTATGTGTTGTATGTTTGCAGAGATACAGAGCCAGAGTACATGAGATTAAGTGGACTCCTCTCCAGAAAGGGAGGAAGGAAGCATACTATCTGGGATGGAAAATTTCACAACAATAAATACAGTATATTTGCCAGATAACTTGAAATGTAACTACATAGGTATGGTTTATACTTCGTTGAGTTTTGTTTCCTTGTTTTTCAGCATGCTCCCAGACCACTGTATGCTGAAATAAAACAGTTGCACAGGACAGATTCACCAATTTTTACTCTGCATATTCATATTCCAATTGGAAAATTTCACAGCAATTTCAAGCTATCATAAAGCAAATTAGATAATCACTCTCCTGATATTGTGTCAGGGAATTGTCCTGACATTGTGACATGTGACACTGTGACAGTGTCCTGATATTATGACAGTGAAGGTACCATATATCAAATAAAAATTCATTTGTACTTTATCTATATAACCTACTTCTTTCCAAGCAGTCCTTTAAAAAGGATTTTGAAAAATCTGATATCTAAAAAGCAACTGTCTTTCCCTCATCTTTGAATTCAGACTTTCATTAAATACATGAGTTTCAGATATGAAGATAAATGTGCAATCTTTGGATACCTAAAAATAAAATGTACTATAAATTTACAAAAAAGTGCCTGCATTTCAGTTTCTGAATTTGGATTCAGACCAGATCAGCACAAGGACTACTACAGAAGGCTCTGGATGCTGAAGGAAGATTCGCTGGTAATTAGTCTCCAAAAGATGAGTGGATAGTAACCTTTCTTAACAAGATACCAATGGTATTGTATATCAGTGGAACAAACACATTTCATGTGAAAGACTAGAAAAACCTCTGAGCTGCTGATCCACTTGATAACAGATGACAGAGAGAGAGAGAGCTGTGAGAACAAGCATGACTACAACTGCAGGACAGATGAACACTTAGAACAATTTTCCCCCTGACATAACAAAATTGTTTACTTCCCATGCTAAACTGATACTGCATAATAAAATTGTATATATATATATATAAAATATATCATTATATATATGCAGTGCTCAATCTTGTGCAACACATTCATCATCTCTAATTTCACTAAGAGTGTTCATTAATGTGTTTTTTTACCAAAGGGAAAGAGGTAAAAACACAAAATATATAAGGCTTAGGAGAGTAGAAACAGCGTCACAGAAGCCCATAGCCCAAATATTTTTTTTTTTTTTTTAATTAAAAGCTGGAATCTCTCTCTGGGTTGTCACAGGTGATCTAAAAATGGTTCTTTTTTACATTCTCCACTATTCTCATTAACACAATATGTCAAACAGTTTAATGGATGAGTTTTAATATCACCCTACACACCATGTATCTTGGCCTTAGAGCAGTATTTAGAACTTCTAAGGTATTGCCTGCATTCTCAAATTGATGTTTGAATTAGCACTGACCCAGCAACAATATGTATCTCAAAGCTAAATCTTATATAATTACAAAGGGTAATTAAAAACAACTACAAGTGTGCAGCTCTTTAGCTCCTTGTTCTCCACAGTCATCCTGGATTCTATATCAAACACATGATGGATTGCCCAACCTCATTTTAGTGAAGTGATTCTTTCAGTTTAGATTTATATATGTTTTTATTCTACCTGTAACAGAAGGTTGTACAGGTTGCACGAGGTCTGGCTGCTTGAGAGGATTTCCAAAATAGACAAACCACTCTTTTACCAAAGGACGGTTTCCACCTAAAAAAGACAGAATTGGATCAGTAAGTCAAATGCAAGTATTGACACTAGTGTAACAGCTGGAATCAGCTGTGATCAGGATTCTAAACTAACAGAAAGCACTTCTTGATGACTTGTTTGCTCAGCTTCAGAAACAAACCAAGAAAAAATAGATTTAGTATCTTTATGACAAATCATCAGAACAAATAAAGAGAGTTTCAATTACATACTATAAACATGAGTTTGGACTGGGGAACTGCAACCAAAAATGTAAGAACAGGAGTCCGTGGATAATATTCTCAAACAGGCTTAGGCCTTCCCACTCCAAGGAAGCTCAGGAAGCTCTGGAGGCATGCGGTGTAGCTCAGGGACCTGCATGAGCTACCTGTCTCTCAGCAGTCACACTGCCACATATCCAGGCAGTGCTCAATAGGATTCACCTCCCAACTTGCTCTGACATTTCCTATGTCAGGGTTTGAGCCAAAATCTTCATAGGGAGGCCTTGATGGCTATTTGAAAGCTAACTGCAATGGAGTCATCCTACCATCAGATGCAGAGCTTTTACAGGTCAATGTTCCAGATCTTTTATTGAGCAAAAATTAATTGTTTATACATAATACTCCAAGTGACTTTCCTAGTCTCTAACCTCAGCCCTGCTCAGCCCTCCATAAAGATGCCCCTTAAATTAAAAATTTCACTACAGGAATTGTACATCTAACTACTTGATGCTTAAAAAAATCCAAACAAACACTCAAAAAAAAAAAATCAAAAAAAATCACGCATTTAAGGATTTTTGAAAGCAGACTATCCAATTTATAATAGTAATCTCAAAATCATTCTAATGCAAGTCTTCATTTGAAAAAAAAGCCCAAACAAACATAGAATCACTGTTACTATCAATGATGTTTTGCATTCTGTTCAGATTTTTGCTTATGGTAGCTATGTCATAGTGCCCTGCTCTCTGTAGTCTGATAAACAGAATGAATTAAAGAGGTTTAGCTAGTCCTGGGCACTTGGAGTAGTGTTTTCAAATGTTTTCTTTTTTTCCTTCCTTTTCAGATTCACAGAATTGAATCTCTGATTTCTTCAAGCTCTCAACCAGTACTGAAGCCACTATTCTTAAAAGTTCCTGCCTTTTATCACCAATTCAAATCTCTCTGAAATTTACTGCAGAAGTATTTCTGATGCCACTTTGTGAACCTTAATCAAAAACTTCCACTAGATTAACACAAACCTTTCCAAACAAATCTTTCCAACACTGTCCTTTCTTTGTCCACCCGAAAAGGTTTTGTCACATTAATTTCCTGATCTTACTTCTAGCTCAATGCTGGAGATAATTCTTGGCATGACTGAACAAGTAGTGTGCTACAGTGCAAGGGCAGAAATTCCTTGGATAGATTTCTAGTGATGCGGTAAGAGAGGGGAAAAAGAATACAACCTTCCCTTCCCTTCCCTTCCCTTCCCTTCCCATAGCAAACTCCCAGAATAAAGGTGAGGGATTGAAGAACAAACATACAGACTACAAGGGACAGTATTATATTTGGCATGCCATGCTTATCTGTTCAAAACTAAATTACATTAAAAATAAAATGAAAAATGCCTACACTGGGGGAGGAAGCCTTAAACTGTACATTCCAGTAGCTGAATAGTCTTACATCTTGATTATAAATCATTGTCTATGATAATGCTATTTCATGAATAATACTCTCCAATTAAACAATCCAAAGTCACTTTCAGAAACATTCTGATGCTTTAGCATTTGGTTTTAAGATTTACTGTGTAGATTATTCTGCTTTATCCAATTTATTCAGCTCACTCAGACTCCTAAATTTTAGCCCGGTTTCTTAAGGAGGCAAACCTAATACAATTAGGACATCTGTCTTATAATTAATTCCTGGATGCAGTGCTCTGTTTCAACCAAATCTGACAAAGGAGAAGTGATTTCAAATGGATTGAAGTCCTAAAGATTTTGTGAAACTGGAGACTCAGCTGGCAGAGGGATCCCATTAGGGCACCAAAAGAAAGAAAGACAGGCAAATCAACTTACCTGTTGTATCCAAACAGACTGACTGCCAAATCAATACACAAATAGCTGTAGAAGAGCTAGAGCTGAGAAAAACAGTAGATGGGATTTGGGAAGGGCAGGATGAAATAGGAAACACTCTTGGGAACACCATATACTGCAGGAGGGAGTTGTCAAGGTCATGAGAAGTGAATATGGTATAAAGAAGCATTGAAATAGAAAAACTTTGCTGGTGGGGAGCATTGCTCTTTATGAGCTCCACAACTCACAGAAAAACTTACCGAAACGTGTCTTGATTCTAAATACCAGTGAGAGATTATTTTTTACATCAACCACTGAACTCATGCACAGTAAAAAGCGAAGTCAATAAGAAGTCTACAGTGTCATTCTTTTAATGTTTGTGAATGTAAGTACAGGACATAGCACCACATCAGCTAATTGCTATGTTACTATACTCCATTAGTAACAAAAACATAACACTGCTCATATCAACAGCCAAATTAATAAAGCTGAAAGCAAGGTCCTGCAACCTGACAGCACATTAACATACCAAGAACAAAATAGAGATATGATTGCTAAATTTCAACTCTCTCTGCATGGAAATGTCTTGGGGAAAAAATCACTAAGTTTTCAAACTTTTTTTCCCCATAATGCATATAAAGAATATCACCAATAAAATGGAAAAAAACCAGCAGTTCCTTTATTTAAATAGATTCTGAATGACCTGTGAAAGCACTTCTCAGGCAGCCTAAGGAAAGCTTCAACTGTGTGCAGAACAAGACAGTTGGAAAATGTTGTTATGTGTGTTCCTCTACACCTGCAACAATGCCAACTCTCATGAGTAGTCACTGGTGGTAACTGGCAAAAATTCTGCTAATGGACTGTTTCTTACAGTGTCAAAGCAAGGATCAGTCTGGCCTGCTAATGTTAGAACTGGGAGTGATGCCAGGACTTCCAGGAGCTGGCCACAGGCTCTGGCTATATTACATAACCTCCTAATTGGCAATGGACATGAAGGTGCAGGTATTTCCATGGACTGTTCTAGTGCCAAAACCTGCTGGCTTTGTTCTGAACTCTTTGCACACACAAGAAAGCTTGGCTGGCCTATCAGGATGCATTATTTACTGTTATTTTCCCCTCCTACTTGAATTTTCTCAAAAGTACTTTTTCTTGGAAAGATGCTAAAGCAATGACAAATTCTATCACTGTATTCAATATTTCACATATTGATCAGAAATGGCTCAATTAATTATAAATGTACTTTTGAAATACACAGGTAACAAATGCCATGTTGTCAGAAGCACCATCAGCCCCCTATTTATTTCTGTAGGGTCAAAAATAAGGCTGTGATTCTCCAACATTTCCATGAGTAAAAGTACACACATGCTTACCATACACCAAACTATACCAAAGGCAATGTTATATAAGCAATTCTTCCAGCAGCACTGCTACCTTTTACAGCCAGGCACTCATTTGCTCATTCCCACTCCCTGCCATTCCCTGAGGGTGTTTCACCACAGCTGTTTGTGGCTACACAGAGCCAGATAGGGAAACAACCAGGTTAGTTACCTGACTACAAGAAAGGCAGGGAAGACAGACAGAGGCTATTTTCAGTTTCCCAATCTAGGCCACCACACAGCTGCACAAACAGCTGCACCAGCACAACGGAGACGATGCATGGGGATTGAAACGAGTGGCTTTGCAAGAAAATTATTTAAAGTGGCACTGATAGCAAAAGAGACACTTATCCCACTACTGGCTTCAGGCAAAGTGGCACAGTATGGGCTGGTGGTTTCAAAGGATATGACATCCTGCTCCTATGGATTTGTGGGTCTCTTAGGCACCCTTGGAAATCATAACCTAGACAGTCAAAACTAAGTCTCTTGTTTCAGAGTAGGGCAAACATTTGATGCTAGCTTTAACCTGTTCTTACTAAAACTGTAACCACTGCTTTTACTAAATTTTGTCTGCTTTGCCAATTAACAGTAAGTAAGTATATCTGCAAACTGCAAAGAGGTCAGTTTCCACCATATTTTAATTGACTATATTAAGGAGCAAAAAAGAGGATCACTAACACATACATCACCACTGCAAACTGGAACACTCTGTAGAGTTAGTCGAGTTAGCTTCAAATGTGCTACATCAGCAGACATATAATGGTGGCAGACTCCACATGGACTAATTTAATTCGTTGTCTTCTTCCAGTAAGCTCTTTTTTAATGATAATCCAATGTAATTCTACATTATACTATAACCTACAAACTGTGTAGACTACTTCTTCCCCTCCTATCCCTTATCAAATTACAAAAAACAGTCAACCTGGCCTCATCTGAGGGAAACTGGGAAAGGATTCTACTTACTTTGTAAAGAACAAAACTTTGTAGGTCTAGCAGCAAATCCATAAAAAAGTAATGCTTACACATACCTATGCATTCCAAGACAGACTGTGATTAATGATCTACACTCTTGACTTAGAAGCAACTACACATTGGAATTAAAAAGGAACCCATGAACTACTAGGAATTGACACTGTTAAAGCAGTCAGAGGTAGATAAATGCATTGAAAATGTAGATTTAATAGAGGCACCCATGCAGATACAATCTACCTACCTTTCTGGAAGGGTTAAGAATTGAGGGTGTACTATGACTTACTTTAGAAATTATCTCTGGAATTGGAAGCCTGAACTGAGAATAAATAACACATGCTATCTGTGGTTTTATTCTAAAATCAGTTCCTTAAAAGAAGACAACTTTCACATTAAAATTTCATTTTCAATATGACTATAAATAAACATTTCTGTATTTTAACTCTAATCTTTGAGTACTAAAACCACTGTAACACAAAACCTAACCTGCCTACTACCCTGCCATCTTGTAGAAACAATTGTTAATTAGGAATTTTGGTCTGGGTGTTTCTGAAAACATCAATGAATATCCTGCTGTTTAGATGAATAAGTAAATCCCAACCAAGTTATAATTATCTACAAAATTTGGAGGCAGTACACCAAAAAATGAAAAATGACAGATGTGCATGATTACTGCTGAGATTTTTGTTATTCTCTCCAAATTGCTATGTAAACTCTGATTCAGATTTTCCTATTATGGCACAACTTCAACCTCTGGCTGCTGAGGGAAGTCATGTACTTAATTACCTTTTTGTGCCTTTCTAAGCAAATAGTTTGAATATTAGGTTTGATGGCGGTGCACTTTCATCAATAAAATGTAAAGTGATTACCACGGAAAAATCAGCACATTCAAAAGAATGGAAGTTCAGTACACTTTTAATTTTCAACTCACTGGCTGAAAGACACTGTAAAGATAACACTTAACTAATGGAAGTCATAAGAACATGAAATTGGTCCAAGGATGTGAATAAAGAACTCTCTGTCTTCAAGGAGATGAATGCAAGCACAGATATAAGTACCTGCTACCAAATCTGTTTATACCACTGGATAAGGAAATCATATTTTCAAGCACTTGGATGAAAGAACTAATAATCGCTGGCATGACTACTTGCATTTGTATTATTACAGTAACTGTATTTGACTGTTCTGAAAATTGCAGACTTAAAATCAACAGCAGGTAAAACTTTAACAGTACATTATTGTTCTGTAAAAGTGTATTACAACTCACTAATTCATCCAGAGCCACACTTATCCAAGCAACATTAGGTTTCATATACTCTCAAACTTTCAAAAATTTCCTAAAGATCATTGTTTTGCCCAATCTTTTGATCATTAACAACTTTCACAACTTCCAATTTAGCAAGTAAAATGCTCCAAATTTTAAAAATCACTTTAAAAGCGCTGAAATGGAACAGCATGTAGAAAAAGCCCCACAATTTCACTCACATTTTCTCTTACTTCCATAAGAAGTTCCATTTCAGCTGTTCAAAGTTTTTATCCTAAATGCATTTTCTATCCTAAATGCTGACAGAGTCACTGAAGCAATGAATTCAAGATTTCATATTCGAAAATTGAAAGTATACTTGAATAATGGTGTAAGTAGTTTAATCCTTACCTTTTCCAGATTCCAACAAGAGAGAATAAATATGCTGACGAGCAGGGCGATAGATAAGTGCCTGTCCAGGAATCTCTGTATCATAATCATCTTCCAAGGAGTTGCTGCACTCAGTCTCTCCATGACTCAGGATATTGAAGACCAAATAGTTTTCAGATTGGATATGCTGTTCTTTAGCTAACTGTTCAAAGATGGAAGAAGGCATTATCTCCAAAGTTAAGAAGAATCAAAAAGCAACAAAATGTATTCACTGTTTGAGGAAATAGGTATTTCTCTATCAGCAGAAATGGAGGGAATAGCCAGGAACAAGTGCTTTTTCAAATAACACCACTACAGTATATTTTCAGACATCCATCTTTTTGTGGACAGGAATCCCCAGGAAAACCATCATTGCCTTTCTTAGCCCCTCCTTTAATTCTTAAAACTTGGGAGCTTGAACAACAGTTTTCTAGAAAGTAATTATTCTTAAAATTAATTCTGAATTCCAGAATAGTTTCCCTCCTTCGGTCACCTGAAAATGTATCTTCTTTCTTTAAACAGCGAGTGAAGAAACATGTGCCGTGCTATCTGCACTATTTGGGTTGTGCCATCTCTCCACAGCTACCACAGATTCTTTCACTGGGAGTTACTGGACCACTAGCTGGAAACAAATCCACCATTTCTGCAGAATGACAGTATCTGCAAACCTGGCAGCTCAGCAGGTCAAAGCTGCAGTCATTCATTGGGTCATTCCTGACCAAAACCACTTCTACTAAAATGTCATACTTTCTGTGTACAGTGCCACTCAACAGAGCTCTTATACAATAAATTAAAGGTTTCCCTGCAAGAAATATTTCAGTATTCCTAATATTCCTAAACAATATAATCCCCCAAGTATACTTTTGTATGAGCATCAAATATTTCTAAGCATGATTTTAATCAAGCACTGAACTATTTCACAAAAACCAGCCACAGATATGAGATCATCAACAACACTAGTTTATTGCAATTTGCCAATAATCTTCACATCCTTACGTACTGAAAAATCAACACACTGATTTCAAAAGTATTGCTGTATTCAACGTCTCTATCTTGAAAAATATTTCTGATTCATACCTACGATCAGCTAGAAGGTTATGTTGTTCTGACAGAAACAGCAACATGAGGCTGTGGCCTCATAATTGGAATTGAGCTTTGTGTGCCATTTACGTGCAGTTCAGACAATGTGCAAGGTAAGCAGAACTACATATGGGTTTCAAAATATGAAGAGCATACATAGTACATATACAAATATTTGAACACTTGTATCAAAAACAAAAGAGAAATTAACATGTCTAGCATTTTGACTATAATTTCCTTGGCCCAGGGACTGGTTTCATGTAGGATTCATGCAGCAACAGTGAGACATTCTTCAGTGGAGTTTCTAAACATTATTATTTTATTAGAGCAGTAGCTCAGCATGATGCTTCAGAACTTCAACCCTTCAAATTAAAGATCAAGCCAAGAAATAATGACCACTTGTCATAAAGACCACATGGTACATTCTCTTAAGGAATAAGGATATTGCCACTATTGTCCTGGCCATAATCCAACCTAGATAATTGCATTCTGGCTATTTTTAGCTTGCACTTCAAGCAGAAAGAATATTTTTCAACACCTTATGGTTGTTCAACACATATGGCTGCTGATTTTTCAAAATATCTTCTATTTAACTACAACAGTCAAAAGTGATATGTATTGTATCTGTGTGGCTAATATAAAAGCCCAAATATATGTACAGTTTCACTGGAATAAGCATTACATTGGTTACAATGTTGTTATAAAATGTCTCATAGTCTTTTTAGGAGGGAAAAATAAATTATATCATTACTTTAGAGTAATATGAGGAAACAGAAAAAGAGTTTTAAAGAAAATGCTCAAGATAAGCAAGAGAAAGAAAAAAAAAGTTCTGTATTTGAAGTCTATAAGGACCTAATAAAATAGGGAGTAACAGATGGCTAATATAGGGTCTAAAATACACTTCCTTGTATAGATTTTTTAAAAATCTCAATATGTTATCTTAATTGCCACTAATTTACAGAATTGTACTCTAGACTTACTACTATTCCATAAACTGATGCAAGGTAGCACATTTTCCATTAGCCAGGTACGCCACCCTAAGCTAATATATCTAATTTCCCAGAGTGACTCAATCTGACATACCACATCTCACCCCAACACCAGTGCATCTGTGCCCACGTAGGATGCCATATCTAAAACTTGCTACTAGGGCCCTGCCCTTTGGGAATTAATAAACCCACTGAAATGCTTTTGGATCATTCAGGGACAATGAAAACAAGGGTAATTTAACCTGAACCAAAAATGACAAAATACAGACTTTACTGCGTTTGACACCATTCTGCTCAACATCCTTGTCCCTGAACCAGAGAGGATGGATTTCACAGATGGTTCTTTTGGCAGATGAGGAACTGGTTGGATGGTCCCACTGAAAGGGTTGTGCAAAGGGAGGCCAGCGACAAGCGGTGTCCTCAGGGGTCGGTACTGGGACCAGCACTGTTTAACATCTTTGCCAGGAGCACGGACAGTGGGATTGAGTGCTCCCCTGGCAAGTCTGCTGGTGACACTAGGCTGTGTGGTGCCATCGACATGCAGGAGGGAAGGGATCCATCCAGAGGAATTTGGACAGGTTTGAGAGGCGGGCCTGCGCAAACCTCATCAATTTCAACAGTGCAGATACAAGATCCTGCACTTGGGTCAGAGCAATCCTGACCACAGATACAGGCTGGATGGAGAATGGATTGAGAGCAACTCTAAGAAGGGCTTTAGGGTGCTGCTGAATAAACAGCTTGACCTATGAGCTTGACCAGCAATGTGTACTCATAGCCCAGAAAGCCAATTGAACCCTGGGCTGCATCCAGAGGAACATCACCAGCAGAGCAAGGGAGGGGATTCTCCCTGTCTACTCTGCTCTGGTGAGACCCTGTCTGGAGTGCTGTGCCCAGCACTGACATCCCCAGAACAGGAAGGACTCCAGCCTGTAGGAGTGAGTCCAGAGGGCTGCAAAGATGACCAGAGGGCTGGAGCACCTCAACTATGAAGACAGGCTGAGAGAGTTGGGGTTCTACAACTGGAGAAGATAAGGCTCTGGAAACACCTTTAAGTGGCCTTCAAATACTTAAAGGGGGCTACAAAAGAGCTGGGGAGGGACTTTTCCCAAGGGTGTGCAGTGACAGGATGAAGGGAAATGGATTTAAACTGACAGAAAGTAGGTTTAGATTAGATATTAGGAAGAAGCCCTTGGCTGTGAAGGTGGTGAGGCACTGTCTCAAGTTGACACGAGAGGAGTTGAATCATTGCTGGAAGTATTCAAGGCCAGGTTGGATGGGGCTCTGAGTAACCTGGTCTAGTGGAAGATTCCTTGCTCAGGGCAGGGGTTTGGAACTAGGTGATCTTTAAGGTTCCAACCCCAACCATTCTATGACTCTATCACATGGATTCTGTAGGAGCTTCCATGTCTCAACCATGAGAAAATTCAACTTCTGCATTCCTAGCACAGCTACTTTTGATACCTCCACTGCAAGGCACAGCCAAGCAGATCACCAACCAGCTTACAGCTGACCTGGGGGTTCTCAAAGTAGAAACCAAGTCAATTTGAAAATCATATAAACATGTGAAATCATATAATACATGGGAAGTATATTTCTGTGCCCAGCTGCTGGTCTATACAGGAGCTGCTGCCCATTATTTGACCTACTTGACACTTCAAAAGAGAGAAATGACTTTTTATTAAATGTGCTGCATCTGTGCTCATAATAATGCATGCAATAGTCCTAACTGGGGCTCTATTCAACAGACAAAAGATTTTTGCACAAGCAAATTCAAATCAATAGGATTGATGTATCCATTAACTAGTCATAAAAATAAAATTATCATTAAGCTTTAAAAAACGAATTACCTGAAAGATTTCTTTATCTTGACAGAGAGCTGATTGTTGTTGAAGGGATAACATTTGACAATTTGTTACATTGGGAGGAATCCATGGAGACTGCTGCCCAGGCAAAAGATAGGAGTTCACTCCTCTGCAAAGCAATGTCTTGTCTGATCCCAGAGGTAGAATCTCTTCCAAGTGTTTCAGGCTGCTGTACGAGCATGGAATTTTTGAGATGTAATTTGCTACAGACAGCAGTATGTTTGTTCTTCTGTTGTAGCTGTTATTCCTGCGGGGACTGGTGGTTAAACATTTGTGCCAAAAGCCTTCCAACATGCTTTCTGGAACAATATCATTGCCAAGCAAGCAGGCAAAGAGAGGAAGGTGTGTCAAACTAATACCCAGCACACGGCAAAGAACTTCTCGAGAGTACATAACAGTGACCAGTTTGTCCAAACGGAGGTTCTCAATGGAAAAGTAGGGACATGTATTATAGATGAGGTAGTCACTATCTTGCCCCAGAATTCCTATACAGTTGTGCTGCAAACCATATGCAGCCACCTCAAAGTCTGCCTCTTGCAATGTGCAGACTGTTTTTTGACCAAGTGATTTCAGGGCATAACGTGTAAAAGTAGGCAGAGCTGAAGGAAGAACAAACATTTCCCTCCCTGGCTGTTTCCTGTGAGTCTTGACAAACTGAAATAATCTGGCTATTTCCTGAGTATTCTTCATCCTCCGTTTGATCCACTCATCTCTCTTTTTCTCTTCGACCACCCCATCGAAATAAAACACCAACTTGATGCCAGCTGCCATAAAAGCATTGATAAAATCCTCTAAAATGGCAAGGTACTCCCGCCACTGGCCACCGCACACCCAGGATTCTGGTGTGTACCAGCGTCTAACGCAACTCATGGCATCTACTACAATAACAGGTGGGGAATCAGGATGATCAATGCGATGTTTTTCTGCCATTTCTCTCAGATCTACCGTTTGGCACGCATCAGGGCAAACGCTTGCCACAAATCCCTGCAAGCCTCTAACACCCATGGCTGATCTCCGAAACTCACAGCAGTCTGAAAGAAGAAAAATAAAAACAATGTTCTAAAATGCAATACTGAGAAACAATGAAATACTACAATAGTAATAAAAAAACCTGCTTGGAAACAGAACTGTTATTTCTCTGCTTTTGCTGATAGCTCATTGCCATATCTTGGCTTTTCACAATTTCAAACAGTGTACTTCCCCTCAGCAAACCAGACGTAAGTAGTCATTCATCTTCCCTTCCACTTCTGGTTTTTATATCAGTGAAAAATATAAATATCAAAAGAGTCTTATAAATATGACCAAACAAAACTCACAGAATCATTGAATAAGGATGGAAGGAACCACAGGGTCCAACCTCCCTGCTCCAGCAGGGTCATCCTAAAGCACATGGCACAGGATTGTGTTCGGACAGTTCTTGAGTATCTCCAGTGAGGGAGATTCCAGGTTAATAGTGTATTGAAAAGTACACAATACTAGAAAAACAAGGATAGATTTTTTTTTTTTTTTATTAAGAAATATACATGCATATGGTATTCAAAAAGGAAAGAAAGTGAGCTTACAAAGTATTGTGAACAGACAGCTTTTAAAAGCATTCCCGAAACCTATCAGTTAAAGACACAGTTCAGAATACCACCCTCTTAAATCACAGTTTGGTTTGGAAGGGGCCTTTCAGGCCCTTTCGCAGGGTGCGGGTGCCGCTGCCCCCAGCCCCGGAAAGGTCGAGCCCCCCGCCCCAGGGTCCGTGCGCACACCGAGGCTGCGGCCGCCCCAGCCCGGCCCGGCCGGGCCCGGGAAGCCCCCGGGCCCCAGCCCCACCGCCCGGCCCCACAGCCCGGCACTGACCCGAGCGCCGCTTCCGCTTCCCGCAGGGNGGCCGTGGGGGGCTGTCCCCGGCCGTGAGGGGCTGTCCCCGGCCGTGAGGGGCTGTCGCCGCCCGCGGGCTGCGGTCCCTCGGCTGTGTACGGCCACAATGGGGTCGGAGAGGCCATTGTGCCTCCGAAGAAACCCGGCCGGCACGGGGGGACGGGGCGGGGGACATGAAAGCGTCGCGCACCGAGATCGCTTCAAACGCCCCCGAGTCGCATTTGGGAGATTTTTGTTCCCCCCCTGGCAGGGCGACCTTGGGCAAGGGGGCGGGTGGTGAGTTCGCTTTGTGGTGCCCGGCGATTGCCAGCGGCAGGGAACCCCTGTTTTCCTGCGGGCCGCACATGCCGGGATGACGCCCTGGGTGCGGGCCGGGAGCGAGACCCGCTCGCAGCCCGCCGGCAACAGGTGGGGACCTGAATAACTTCACATCTTTCCGGGAGGGGGAAGAGGGACACGGGGGAGCCCATGGGAAGATTAGATCAGATGCTATTGCCGGTGAAAAATTAAAGAGAGCGGTGCTCTGGGGAGCGCAGATTAATATATTTGGTGACTCCGAGTGCACAAAGCCTCACCATTGTAGCGGTGTCTGAATGCCTGTGAATAGGATGGAGCATATGTGGCCTGTCACCGCAGGTGCCCACATCTGTTCGTCTCCGGGCAGATGCTCTCAGAAAAGGGGAGAGCATTTCCAAAAGCTCAGGCCCGCCCCATCCATACCCATCCTCTTTCTCATAATCACCTTCTGCAGAGGAGTTTTTGCCCCCACCTTCTCCCAACCCCTGCCTACCCTGAATGCGGAGAGATGCAGAAAGAAATAAAAACTGCGCAAACTGGAAGTGGCTTGGAAAGCTCTGGAGCCATATAATCAAACTGCTGCCCCCTCTCCTCCCCCGAAGTTTATTAGCAGCAAGTTTTTTACACTGCAGCCAGCATACAATGCACAAGATGCGCACACTGTGCAAAGACAGGGAACACAAAAACCCTTCATGCATGAAATGCAGCGCAGTACAGCAGCACTCTGTGCTGTCACAGGGCTCTAGAGAGAAACCTGCACTGGAGTCGTAATTTGAAGCTACTGTTTAAAGTTGTGGCTTAAGATGACGATTAACAATGCTGGGCAAAAGAGGGAGTTTTCCTACAAGAGTTGGCAGAGGCAGTGAATATATATTGCTACAGAAGTTGGTAGCAGAAGAGGATCTTGCCAGTCACCCAGCAAAATCTCATAGCTGCAATGCAGAACATTTTTTTGAAGAGTGCCACCACACTTTTTTTCACCTGTACATGATCTGAGTCCCGTTGCTCACCCTCCCTCTGTGTGACACCCTTGCCAAGACAAGCCAGGCCTCAGCCCTGCATGGGGTTACACTGCGCTTGCTTGACCAGGCAAATGGGGTGCTGGGATGCAGGATAAACACCAGGATCAAGGGATATTTCATGTGGTAAGGCACTTCAGAAGGTTTTTTAGTTCCAGTGTGGTGTGTGGCTTCTGATGTGGTGAAGATCTTGAGTATCCTTGAATTTGAAGGCAGGGAAAGATGCCAGTACTCCAAATGCAAGGCCGAGGTGCTCCCAAGAGGGGCACGGGCAGGAAAAGCATTTGAAACTGCGTGTCCCAGAGCAGGGGCCAGGGGAAGGAATGGGACCTGCCCAGCTCAGGGCATCCACGGGAGGTTTTGGGAAAAATTATGTGCCAGACCGGGGGAGAACCCGAGGGCTGAGGGAGGGAAAGGCAGGGGGAAACCTTCTTTCCCCGAACCCCTTTTGTCCCGTCGTTCCCTGGGGGGTCCCGTGGTTCTGCCCCCTCGGGCGGACGTGAGCAGCCCTTCACCCTTCCGACTTTAGGGAGCAATGACAGCTCACGCACACGAGTGACCAATTTTATCCCTCTTAGTTTCCCACAAGCAAAATCCCGTCGGAAGCGAGCCAAGGAGCAAACCCAAACAAACAAGTAGCGCAGGGAAACGGGGCCGGGGCGGGGGGAGGGGGTATCTGGCTTTCTCCTCGTGTGCAATCAGTAAAACACATATAGGGGCCACTTCGGGATTTGCCCAGGGAAGGGTTGGAGAGCAGCTGGCTGCGGTAATCTCCTCGGGAGACAAAGGAATGCCCCGTCCCAGGATCACAGGTAAACACACAACCATTGTAATGAAAATGAGGGGCTAGGATAGGGCCGGAGCAGATGATTTGCGATTTCAAAAAGGGGGCTGGGGGGAAGGGAAGACCCAGAGCTGCTTATCTATCATCTGGCCTCGCTGTGTGCCAGCTGAGCCACGCGACTGCCCTTTCTTATTCTAATCAGCACATGCCTTTGCAACTTTGGGCTAACCTACACGCTAAACTTCTTAATCCTCCTCCCCGCACACGGCAAGGGCGGCGGAGCGCCCCTCCGGCCCCTCCGCGCCCGTCACGCACCCGCTTCGGGTCGGGGTGCCCGGCGGCGGGGCNGCCGTGCCCAGCCTCAGCAGCGGGGAGCGGGGGGGCGCATCCCGCAGCAGCGCCTCCGGGGATCCACCGCCCGCTCCGCTCCGAGCACGGTGCCTGCGGGATCGCTGCTCCCCTCTCTGCCCAGAGTGGAAAAAAAAAACCAAACCAAAACCTAAAAAAAAAAATCACTAAAAAATAAAAATAATAATAAAAAAATCTAACCAAACATTCCTGTACATTTTAAACTTTTACTTATGCGTCAGAGGGCGGGGAGAGGGAAGAGGAAGAGCACCTGGGTGTAGATGGCTCGCTCGACTACAATTAGATGTAAAGGACACGCTGAGTGGCAAAATGTTGCAAAGATCTGGATGCTTGTACCAAGGGTTGGGGTAGGTGGCCTGGGTTTGGGGTAGGTGCCACAAACCCTCAGTAAATGAATGTGAGCAGCTACAGTCCTGGAACAGTCAAGACGAGCTGGGCTGAATGAACTCATTAGTGATTTTCTTTTAATTGGTATTACTCAATGCTTTTACTTTAAGAAGTCTTTAAGATTTTTTTTTTTTCCTAGCGCATTGTAAGATAATTTGTGATCAAGACATCTGCTTCAATGGAAGTCACATTTTGCCATGCAAATGCACGTTTCAACCCAATAAAGTCGCCATAATAAGGCTTTTAGTAGGCATACCTACAGTGAGGTTATTGTAGCCAAATCCTCTCCTTTCGCACACAAGCTTAATCTGTGCTGAAATGATCTGTTACAATTAAAATGACATTTACAGAGACAGTTACACCTTGCATCCTAATGAATCCGCCTGCGCCTACCAAAGGTGTTTAAACAGAGGGCCTAAACAAAGTGGAAAACCCTGCTTCGAGTGACATGCCAGAGTCGCCCTCCAACTTTTATCCCCTGCTTCCATCCATCATTAAGAAACTGCTTAAATGGTAATAGTCTCTATCCCCTTTTCACCGCACCAGTAAACTGCTTTCCATGTTTTAAAGGTCAAAACAAAAGTTGTACTGCCTGATGGATACGTGGAAAAAAAAACTATAAAGGTGACGACTGGCGTAAATTTGGGCTAGTTTATTTTGTGCGCGTGTGTGTGTGTCTGTGTGTGTGTGTGTGTGTGTTGCGGAGGGGGGAAGTGCTGGAAGGGATTTCTTTAAAAAATGTGCGGACATTGTTGTAGAGGCAGTAGCGTGCGCCGAGGGGAGCTCTTTCTCTCCCTCGCATTGTGCAGGGAGCAGGTGCTGTCTACATTACCATACAGCTGAGAGCACAAAGAGCTAACTGATTCAGCCCTCACACAATAACAAACGGCCTTAATGACAGCCACGCGAACGACACACACCAAACTCACTTTTTACTAAGCTGAAGGACGAAAAAAGAGAGGGAGAGAGAGAGAGAGAGACGGAGAGAGAGGGAGAGGTTGCTGGTGATGATGATAATCATAGAGGGGTGCGGGACCCGGGCGCAGCGAGTGGCTCTCTCCGGCAGCGGTGGTGGCGGGCACGGGACCGGCGGAGCCCCGC